CCTGGAACTGTCATATGATACTGACTCTTCCTGTCTGTGTGTTTCTGCAGCCACGCCAAGTTACGCTGCATGTGCAGCTGCAACAGGTGCACCTATTGCATCTGTCACAACCTCCTGAACTCTGAGCTGGTGCGCTCGGTAAAGGCCAAACTCTACAGTGCTGTTCTGAACAGGTCTCTGAGTATAGCCCTAGAGATGGGGATCATTTTTGAAAAATACTAGAAACAAATGATTTTAGTTACATTTGGTTCTGTTAACTGTTGTTGAATACCTGAATTCCTCTGCCAATGCTGAAAGACACTAAACAAACAAAAAAAAAGACTCTTATGAATGATTCTTTTGAATAATTCAGTCAAGAAGACTGGCTTAAATTGGCTAAACTCATTCAGTCAGTTAGAGTGGTTCTTCACTAAACTATATATATTTTTTAATCCAAACATTGTGTTCGTTATTGTTTACTTAAGGCTTGTTAGACCTTGTCAGTGTAATTAGTCATTATTCATATGACGACCTATATTTAAAGATAAGGATCATGTGACACTGAAGACTGGAGTAATGGATGCTGAAAATTCAGATTTAGGAATAAATTCAAAATAAAATAAAAAATATATTATAATAGAAAACTGTTGTTTTTGTGAGGCTGGATGATGCTTCCTCAAAAGTAGAATCATGTAGTGGAATCGGTATCAAAATCATTAAATTCCTTTTGATTTCCATCTCTAGTTCAATATATTTTTGTCCTTTTGTGTTTAAGCATACTCTCATTCAGACTCATGTAGCATTTCTTAGAAGAATTGTTTATTTAATACCTTCAAATGGATATGTTTGTTCTCAAACATGCCATAAACATTAAAAGCATAATATGTTTATAAAGGTATCCTTTGGATTTTAGACGGAATAAGACAGATTTGCGTTTGTCCTCATGTTGTTGTGATTTGTAGTGAGTTTTTTTTTTGTAGTGAGTTGAAGTGGATATGCAAGCAGTAAATCTGCACTAATGCACTCATCCTTGCTCCAGTCACAAATGTGGCCGCATGGTTCATATGAACGCTTCCTTTTTGGTTGCATATCTTCCCGAGTCTTATTTTAATACTGAGCAGTTGATCTCTTAGATTTGGTAGATCTTCTAATCTTTCTTACTGCTTATAAAATATAACGCCAGAAGAATGCACAGGTGTAAGTTGAATGATTTCCTTTTTCTTATTCACATAGAAAAGAATAAGTGACCAATAATGTTAATGCAGACTTTTATTTTATATCACATTTTCTTTAAAGCCTTTCTTACACCCCTTGGTTTTTCATCTCATTCTCATGGTGCACGTAATTTTGTTAAACTAATATATATATACATATATATATGTATGTATCTCTTTTTTTTTAAATCTATCTATTGAATTTAATCTTGTGAATTTTTGTTCTGTCCCTCCGTAGGTGTTCCTTTTCAATTGTTTGGCTCGCCCTTTTCGTCTTTGCTTTGCATCTCTTTACATCATGTTAGCAGTCTCCCCGTCTGTTCCTCCCTCTCTAACCATCTCCTGTTTCTCAGCAATAGTTTAGAAAGCTTCCTCAGGACTAACTGGTCATATGCAGTGATGTGACATCTAAACAGCTTAGTTTATTTTGGATTGTGTCTGTATTTGAATGACTAACACGTCTAACCTGTTGCTGCTAGTGTAGTGTTTCATCTAAAACAAAAGCTTCTCTTCCCATTATTGTTTGGTACTTTGATGGATAGTATTTCATGTTTTGTTCTTGTCTATGTAATTTAGCCAACCATTTTATAGTCAGTCTGCTGTTTAAGAAGTGTATAATCTTAATATTCAGGTTGTTAATTATAGCAAAATGTAAAATATATGAAATATTAAGTATTTATTTAAAAAAAATTAATAACAAATTTGCTTGATATACTTTAAAACCACTAACCAGTTGTTTTATATGAAGAAAAAGCAATCTGAATTCACTTTTTTCCCGTTGACAAAGCTGCTATTTCTCATTAAAGCAGCACTATGTAACTTTTTCTGTGTTCAAAATTTGCTAAATGTATATAATGAGCGAGTACATCATGAATTCATCTTCCAAACCGCGTTTTTGTCTTATCCCGAATCACTACGGTACACTTATAATAAGTACTTATATTTGGACTATTGTAGCCTGGTCGGGTCGTCACCGCTGCGGAGTAACACATAACTGCGTGAATCGCCATAGACATAAACTTAGAGAAGTAGCTCCGGTTGGAATGTTCTTCCGCGGGATGTGTGCAGTTCTGTTTATTAACCGCTAGAGCACCAAAAGTTACATAGTGCTGCTTTAATAAGCTGGTGTGTACGAGTGTGTATGTTTACAGCATGTGGTGAGCAGTGGGGTACATTGGGGTGGTCCTGTCGGGTGTGCGGTTGTTGAACTGCCATGCTGTGTGCACATATGTGCATAAGGTTGAGACCTTTTATACAAGATGTGGGCACGTTTCTATTGGCTGATGAGGAGTCCAGCCTCACCCATCAGGTTCATGCAGTCAGCTTTGTAGAGGACTCAGTCTACATGGAGTCTGTCAACCCGTTTGTGCCCGTGTGTAACAGGTAAAGGCCCAGCTTACTGGAGTACAAGGTGCCACAATTTAAATGGGGATTTTAAGTTCAAAGAAGGATTCTCCTTGACTGGTTTTCATTGAGGTGGTTTAATGAAATAAATTCTTCTTTACGTTTATTTTTCTCACCACATCCTTAAGGTGTCTGCAAACGTCTGTTACCTAATCTGAGCTGTGGCAATTGCTCAATATGAACTTATTTCTTGCTTTGTGAATGCCACCTTTGTTGCTTTGGGCTTTTTTTCAGCTGCGTATTTTCATAGATTTCACACACGCACAAAAACTTTGCTCCGATAAACCTTTGAAGTTTTGTCTCAGCCTCGAGTTTGGATGTGCGAGGTTGAGCTTTTTGAAGCCAATTAAACCCTCTGGATTTGTGTTGGGTGGGTTTAGTTTCACTAGAGACCTCCTCTTTATCATCTGGTGTGCTTTTAAATATGTTCAGCCCCTGAAAACATTAGCTGGCTCTCTCATGCTTTCCCATACTGCCTCTTTCCCCATTTCAGCAGCTTCTCTCTCGGTGTATATCATGGGATGTCCAATAGGCAAAACAAAATATATTTTTACTAAGTATTTTTTTTTACTAAGTAAACTATTATATGCTCAAATAATTGTCTGTCAGGGTAAATTTCATAATACCTATCCAGGTCACATTTCACCCCAAATCCCCCTCCAAAAAATAAATAATACCCATATAAAATAATAATCTTGTATAATCTACTTGTAGCCTATTTACTTCAATTTGAAGGATTTTTGTTTAGTTAAATGCATTTTGCCTGTGAAGAAAAAAATAATCAATATTACGTTTTTTTTTTTGAAAGCAGTGAAACATACTTTAGTTTTAACAATGCATCATTATTGATAGTTGCATATTTGTAATGTATCATTATTGATTATTACATCATTAATGAATTTTTTACTCTACTGTAATTTGTTTTTGCATTATGAAAATGAGAATTGATGTATTTAGACATTTTGTTGTTTGTAATCTCACAAACCTTATGAGCACCCTCATTTGTTTTATTAACAAACGTCCCCTTTTTCCTCTCACTTTTGCTCTTTTACAGACACGTGACCCAAGCTGACCTGAAAAACTCAACGTTTTGGCTGAGGGCGAGCGTCGGTGCCACCGTGTTTGCTGTTCTTGGCTTCGCCATGTACAAAGCTCTCCTGAAGCAGCGGTGATCAGTGCATCCGTCATGTTACAGCGACCCTGGCCCTCTGAGAAACTACAAAACCCATGATCCCTCATTCCATCCTTATTTCATTTAGGAGAGAAGATTCCTAGTAATAGTTACATTTTGTATATTTAAAACTGCCTTTCCCGAACCAAGTGTTATAGGAACTCGCCTCATCAGCCGTGTGGTGGAACAGGACATCTACAGTAATCACGTCCTCTGCTGTTCCGACATGAGGTTTTTATTTATGCACACTGATGTTTTCCTCGGGTCAGTATTAATTGGTGTGACCTATTTTGAAAAGAGACAGCAGAGCTTGAGGGTTTACTGATGGGTGACTGAACACTATGTTTATATCTGTATGTATATATATATTACTGGACACTCTTAAGATTGTCTCTAGTTAGTGAACAAACTATATTTAAACTGTATCACATAGAGATACTCTTGTGCTTGTTAGAGAAGCACTGAAACAAAGCCATTTCTCACAAGTAAAGGTCATTTTACTCTTGGCACATCTCAGCTATGTTAATTTATTAGCTTTATCTCTGTCTTTTTGGCATTGCTTGAAACATGCATATAACTATGGATTCTTTTATGCAATATTTGGTTTTTATTTTAGTAAGTTATGTTTGTTTTTCTTTTCTTTTCTACCCATTATGCACAGGAAAAAACATTTTTATGTTCAGTAATGAGATGGCGCAAATCGGTTTATTCCAAACCAGACTAATAAGGACCTGCTTGCTACATTATAAAGACTATATGAATTCTTCCCAGCTAACAATCATGTAGAGACAACGTCATGTTTGTTCTAATGTTTCAGATCTTATGCATATGTAACTTTCAATGCAGTTTCCCTGTTCAAAATCACGGGATTGTTGCACCTGTGGGTTTTCAGACATTTACAATAAATAATGGTGTGAATAAATCTGTCTTGTTGTGTTTGTTTCCGAGAAACTGTGCCTACTTGAGTATTTCTTCATAGGGTTTTTTTGTGTGTGTGTGTGTCCATCTTTTGCAGTCTTTGCAATAATGGGAAATCAATTGAGCATAAATTAAATAAAACAGAACTGCAAAGCAAATTAAAAAGAACCTCCCACATATTTTGGCATTTGACTAAGAACAGCATCTCTTTATTATACAAAGATCAGAAGTGAGGATGTGACAGTTTCAGGGGGAAGTCATGATGTTGATTTATGTTTATGGTGAAGTGTGAACACTTTCAGCGTACAAGGAGCATGAGCATGTCGACTGGAGTAGTGCCGGCTCCGCTCTGCCAGGGCTTTCTGAAGAAACGGAAAGACAAAATGGTATGAACATAATGTACATATTGCTAGTGTTTCATGTCTGTTATTTGCAGGAATCATTTCAGTTTTAGACAGAGTCAAAAATAGTTGCTGCTGGATACTTAAAATACTTGATTTTAAAAGTAGTTGTTGCAGAATACTTTGTTCTCCCATTTTATTGCAGAATTTATACAATTATTACATGATATATACACCTAAGGAAATCTCTTTGCTCAGTGGTTCAATGTATTTTCCTCAGAGGCTTCGGTGGGTGACTTACTGGTTCAGGCTTTACAATACAACTCTCTTTTTCTACACTAAAAAACACGGGAGTGCTGTAAGTATTCAAGTGTTTGATTTAATTTTGGACTTCTGATGTCAGACTTTGCTTGAAGATATTACTGTATTTTTGTGCAATGTGTTTAAGATTTAAAAAATGGTGGCCCATCTGTTGAGGACCATTGCTTTAAATTAAAAATACAATTGAATGTTATTTTGCCAAAGGCTCTTGTTGCTATGATTATTAATCCACTGTTTCTCTTGAACTCCAACAGTTAGACCTCAGGGGCCAGTATTACATATATGAGGTAAAGTCGGTTTGTAATGTTATCTGAGTTTCATTGTCTGGATGCTGGTAAACTGGTCATTAGAAGGCCAAATAAGTGCTTCTCATGCTAACTACATGTACTCTTCACATGGCTTAACAGGTTCAGTCTGTGCGGGAGGTCAGCAGATCGGAGAACAATCGCTATCTGTTTGAGATCACAATGAAAAATGGGAAGAAGAAAATGCTGGCGAGTTTTCACGTTGATCAAGAGAGTGTCTGTAATCTGTGTTTGAGGATGTGGTCTCCCAATAATCATTTGTGAACAATGTTACTTTGTTGAGACCAAGGCAGGACTGTTATAGTTTCAAAAAGGAACATGGATTGCACTTATTGTGACTGAAAGAATTATGAATGCTCTCTTTATGCCCCTTTTGCCCATAAACATCTGTGAACTTTGTACTACCAGGCTGCAGATACAGCTGATGTCAGGCAGGAGTGGATGGAGCAGCTGTGGAAAGCGATGCTGCTGAATGGCCCAGACAGATCTGGATCTCTCACCGATGGGTACCACTGCTCTTTATGACACTTCTCGTCAGTGGTTGTTTTTGTATGAGATTTATAATGCTCTGAATGTGTTTTGTGTGTTATTGAGATTAGGGAGCTGGTGCCAGATAACAACCCTGAAATTCGGTCTAGCCGGTGTGAAGAATCAAATAATGAGACCAGCAGCACTTCAGTGAACAGCATTGATCAAGAGTCATTCGAGTCCTTCGCTGGTACGTCCCACATTTGGGATGCGACTTTCTCCAGTTCTACCTCTCGTTGACTTTTAATTATTTTCTGTAATACCATTAACAGAACTGTCAGTCTTAAAGGGGTCATATGATGTTGCTAAAAATAACATTATTTTGTGTATTTGGTGTAATGAAATGTGTTTATGCGGTTTAAGGTTAAAAAAACATATTATTTTCCACATACTGTACATTATTGTTTCTCCTCTATGCCCCGCCTTTTTGAAACGCGTCGATTTTTACAAAGCTCATCAGTCTGAAAAAGTGAGGTGTGCTCTGATTGGCCAGCTATCCAGAGCGTTGTGATTGGCCGAATACCTCAAGCATGTGACGGAAATGTTACGCCCCTTACCATATTGTGATGATGCCCTGTCAGGCCGGAGCGA